GTCTCTCTAGTGGCTCACTCAGTCTATATCTTCTGTCTCTTTTTTTCTCCCCTCTCTCACAATAAACTCCCTTGTACCTCACCTGCTGCATGGCGTGTAATATTTATATAGTAACTTTTGGTGCCTGAGACTCGGTGGGGCTCTTCTGGCAGTGTCTGTCTGGGCATGCTGGAATTCCTCTATATGACACACTTGTAACAAACTTGATTCCTTTCTCTCCCGCTGCTACACATGCAGGGACCCCACTATAATCTGCTCCAGCCCCTCACCAGACTTTATTGTTAGCATCCTTTCAGATCCAGATGTTTCCTATATCCACGACAGCACTGAAGCAGCTACCTGCAAGTGCTCCAGTCTAACCTCACAGACTGCGTTAAACTTGACCTGCATTTTTTTACCTAGGCACAGATGATCTCACAGATCCTAAACAGCAAAAATAACAGCCTGTTCTTGGAACTTGGCCAACATTCCAGCCTATGGCCCCAAATCAATACCCCAATGTCAGTCAGAAGCTGCCAAAGACCGATTGATTTTTTTTTTTTTTTTTTTGCCTGTTATCCATTTATTTTTAACAAAAAGCATTTCAACAAAATGCTAGGGAAATGTTTCTACTTGCTGCTAGGGATGGCTGGCAACCCACATCTCTACCCTGAACTTTCCAGTACAGGGGCTTTTACCTCCTCCTCACCATGTAACCTGGACATTTTTGTGCTTTTCCTTTCTCTCTCTCTCTCTCTCTCTCTCTCTCTCTCTCTCTCTCTCTTTCCTCCACCCCTTCCTAATTCCTCATTTTTTTCATGAAACAAAAAGGGAGGAATGTTAGCATGTAGGAAGCCTGCCTCTAGGTTGCTTAGCAACCTGACATCATCACTGTAACCTGTCAAATAAAAGCAGCGCAGCATTGTGCCTTCCACTTCTCTCTCTCCTCTTCTCTTCTCTCTGCCTGTCCCTCTGCCTGTCTGTCACCCTTCCCACTTTGCTCTCACATACTTTTCCTTAACTCAGGCTATATCTTCTTTCCTTCTTTCCTCTGTCCTTCCAACAATAAACTTCCTTGTACCACGGGGGTGGGGGGAATCTCTCCACATAGAACTGCTTATATAAGCATCAGATACTTTATTCATATTAAAATTTCCCAAATTGTTCCCAATATATCTCTTTATACTTGGTTTATTTAACCCATGGCAGTTGCACATGGGTGTTACAGCGCTTGTGTCCATTTTTACTGATATTCCCTTGCCTGCTCCCCATTTCCAGTTAATGCTACTGACTTGCTAGACAAGTCAGGTCATTCATCCTTCAGAATCTTCCACATTTTAAATACAGCAAATGATTCCCTCTCGGTTTTCCTGACTTGCCTCCTTGTATTTCCAGGAAAACCATTTCCAGAAAATGGTTTTGCCTACAGGTTTGAAGTGCCTCACCATGTAACCTAGTCCACTATGATCTGCCTTTCTACCATTCTAGTGCTGACTTGCCTGCTTCCTTATCTTATAATTTATGCCACATTCTTTTCTTTTTTTTTGTTCTTTTTATGTAATAAAAGCAATTTTATTGTGATGAACTACAAATAAAACATAACACAGCTAGATTAAAGTCTTCATTCAAGTAAGAATTTGCCTAGTCCTAAACTCTATATACATCTTAGTGAACTTCTAGCGAGTCAGTATGTGGTATTAATACTTAATACGTCCTACCCAATTTTACTACGGAACAGCTCATATGGCCCAGATTTCTTGGTTAAATTCTTCTTTCATTGTAGGAGGCTCACTTTTGAAACCATTTTGCTAGGGCATTATGTAAAGTATGTATACATTTGTAAATAATGCATGTTCCTTTACCATTTCTATTTAAAAACACACATTGTCGTGGCCCCTTAGGCATACACTAAGCACTAAAGACATTCTAAGTTTGATATCAGACACTGAATGAGACACAACAGCAGGACAGAGGTGCTGTGTTCCTACCTCCACGACAGTTTTACACGTGGCAGAATACTGCATTGGCTCTTTAGTCAAGCAGTTTAACTCTCCTATTATCTCCCCACTGAGCAAATACTCTGTGTGAAGGGCTGGATGCGTCTTGACCTCTGATTCTGAGGGCACTCTTTCCATCTCCTGCTGTGGCTTTGACCTTTTAAGCTGTTAAGAAAACATGGAGGAAAAACAAATATGCCAGTTAATTTCCAACACTCCAACTGTTTGCCATTTCCCTGCTTTAGGTTTAACAATTACCCTGTGACTGCACCATCCTGGAAATAGTTTCCCCTTTGAAGTCAAGTTAGTAAATTAGCAGTGACTTTCACAGAGAATATTCTGAAACAGGTAGCTCTTTGTGACCTCTCTTGGTAAGCCATTTAGTATCCACTTTAAATGGCTTCATCTTCCACTCTGGGTGAGTCAAGATTGATAAATTTACATCTTTCAGAGATGGTCCTTTGTGTAGTTCCTCTTAACTGTTGAAAGGTGTGGCTTGGAAGGAGGCACGTCATTGGCCATTGTGTCTGGTCTTGGAAGTCATCATTTGCATGCTAACTGTTCCCCAAAGAAAGGACCTTTTTAGTTTGCAGCACAGAAAGTTGTTGATTCTTTTTTTTTTAAGATTATTTATTTATTTATCTATTTATTTATTTATTTATTTATTATGTATACAATGCTCTGTCTGCATGTATGCCTACACCCCACCCCAGAAGAGGACACCAGGTCTCATTAAAGACAGTTGTTAGCTGCCATGTGGTTGCTGGGAATTGAACTCAGGACCTCTGGAAAAGCAGCCAGTGCTCTTAATCTCTAAGTCATCTCTCCAGCCCAGTTTTTAATTCTTAACTTTGCTTAATTTTTCTTAAAAAAAAAAAAACTTGAATCTTCACAACTACATTTGTAACCATCTCTGCTTTACCTTGACCATGCCTGAAATAATTACATAGATTCCTTCTGGCTCATCACCTTCTTCAAATATGTTATTTCCACAGTCAAATGTTACAATTTTTGCTTTTTCCTAAAAAGAAAAAAAAAAGTAATTTGGAACATTGATTTATACTTTAATAGAACTTTTATACATTTAAAGTAGATATTCAACAAGATTTAAGAGACTATGTCAGTTGCAAGTTTGTGAGAGAAAATATGAATTATGCATAGCATACAGGGTAAAGTGGAGGTCCACAAATATAAATTTCATATGCAATGCTCATATGAAGAAAAATAACCTAGGAATAAGAATGAAGTGGGAGAAAAGGTTTCATCTAGGTAAAAGTTACAGGTAGATGCGGTAATGACATGTTCATGTTTCAGATACTCAGAAATCTAAGTATATAACAATCCATGCTGAATACTTAAGGAGGAGTCTAACTGGCCTTTTGATACTGAACAAGTACTGAAGAGAATACCATTAAAACAAGTTAGGCCTTTTGATTTTTTCATTCTAAAAGCACTCGATGAGTATATACTACAGCTTAAGCAAACTTATGAAGTGTGTATTTAAAAGATGAACAGAGCTAGACACGTTGGCTTCATGTTTGCAATGTGGTTTTTGGGAAGCCGGGTCAGGATAATTGATACTTAGAAGCCAGCTTGGAATACATAGCAATGTTCTTTCTCAGAAACAACAATGACAACAAAAGGGAAAGAAAGAAAAGGAAAAAAAAAATGACCTAAACAGTGGTGACAGAGATGCAAAATTACTTGTAATGTACTGTACTTCAGAGTAGAGTGTAAATATAAACTGGAAAGAATGGTAGTGCATTTCTGACTTCAAACTACAAACAATTAGCCCTACGGCCTACATCTCTGACTACTTCTGGTAGTTTGCAGAAGTACAACAAGTAAGGAAGAGTGAAAAAAGCCTAGGACCAGTGGACATTTCTAGGAAGTTAAAAAGAATCCATCGAAAGATGGATGGAATTAGAAAAGAGAGTGGTATGTACGGCACCATCGGTAGCTCATCATAAACAGAATAAAGGACATATGACACACGGGAGATGGAAGCTGAGGTTTCAGAAGGTGGAAAGGTAGCTAAGAGGCAGCTTGTACCAGGGCTGTGGGTTGTATTCAAAAAGATGCTCATTGTAGCCCAAATATAGCAAGGGGCAATTACAGAGTTTTTAGCTAGTGAGCATCAAGGTGAAATCCTTACTGTTCTGTTAATTATTTGCCAGTGCATTAAAGGTATTATCAGAAGGTGAAATTTTTACCTGAATAAAGCTTATGGATACAGGATCTTTACTAAGCCACGGGACATAGTCTGGGGATTCTTCAATATTGAGTGGCTGTTTAACGGACTGTAGATCATGCACCTCAATCTTTTTGGCCATGATTAACTAGAAGCACAATATTTAAGAGAGAAGGTGAACCAAACTCATATATACAGAAGGAAGGAGGGGAGAAGGAACAGAAAGAGGAAGCAGAGAGGGAGGAGGAAGAGGAAAAAAAGCAGCTTTTTACTGTATTGCATTAGTTGGCCCTTTCCTCTGGAGGGCACTGCAGACCCAATGTGCATAATGCTTTTCCATCCAGTATTGTGGTGCTTTGAGTGAGAAATGTCCTTTACAGGCTCAGATATTTGAACACTTGGTCGTCCTATCTAAGCTCACACATTTGAACACTTGGTCCCCAGTTGGTGTCATTATTTGGTGAGGGCTTAAGAGGTGTGGCCCTGCTGGAGGAACTATGTCACTGGGGGTGGGATTTGAGAGTTCCTAGCCTTGTCCCACATCAATTTGCTTTATGTTTGAGGTTGAGGACGTGACCTCTCTGCATCCTCTTCCTACTGCCATGCCTACAGCTCATGGCCGTGCTTCTCTGCTCGGATAAACTTCTATCCCTCAGAACTGTAAGTCCCAATAATATCTACTCAAAACTATGTGTTAATAGCTCTTTACATCTGTGTTTAGTCACTCCACGTTGTGTCTCTGAGATTTACCCGTGGTTGCACAACATGATTCGTATAAGCTCAAGCTGAAGCAACTAAAGTGTCAATCAACAATAGAGAAATCTGTGCTACAGTCATAGGACATAGTATTATACAACATTGAAGCTGAAGTAAATGAAGCTTTGCTCCTGAAGACCATGGAGCCTGGTGGTCATGAAGTAAGATCTATGGGACCAAGACATAAACCACATCTTTCTTTTATTTGTCAGATTTTTCTGTCAGTTTATTACGGTGACAGAAAGCCAAATTTTCCCACATTGACATACAGGCTTAATGAAATACCATCACACATTTCAGTCTAAAGTTTAACAGAAATCACCCCACCATCTATAATTTTATTTGAAAATATAAAGTGCCAGATCTAGTAAAAATGATCTTGAAGAAGAAAACTGAAAATGCAATCAGAGCAAAGATTTAATAAATACATGTAAATATAGATAGTGTGGCTTGGTACAATGATAAATACAACAACGAAGAAAAAGGATCCAGAAACTCACCCCCCCACTCTGTGTGTGTGAGAGAGAGAGAAAGAGAGAGAGAGAGAGAGAGAGAGAGAGACTCACTGAACTTAAGACAGAGAGCCTTAATGAAGATTCTGGAGTGAAGCAGTCTTTTTCATAAATGGTACTAGGTTGAGTGATTATCCATGTGGGAAAATGTTCAATTTAATGTAGCATTGTCACACAAGACATTTTTTTTTCTGTTTCTTACAGGGGAAATGTTCCTCTAGTCAGTCTTGAGTTTTCATTTCAAAATCTTTAAGTATTTTTTCTAGCTCTGGCTTTTTACAGCATCAAGCTTAACAGCATGGGTTCTAGATTCAGAATGCCTGAGTTAGAAGATTGCCTTCTGGGACGAGAGTGATGGGGCAGTGATGAACAGTGCCTCCAGCCTCTGCTTCCATTATAGCCATACCCCATGGCAGCCAGCTAAATAAGTGTAATTCACTTATTTATAGTACTAAGTATTGAACTTGGGGCATTGTTTAGGGTAGGCAAGCGCTCTACCACTGAAGTTTAGCTCCAGCTTCCTCAGTTTCTATTTTTACAATTTTTAAAATTTAATTATGTACGTGTGTGGGGGTATGCTGCACGAGTGCTCACAGAGACTAGAATGTGAGGCCTCACAGAGCTGGAGTTACAGGCTATGCTGAGCTGCAGGACATGGGTACTGGAGGCTGAAGTTAGGTGCTCCTAAAGAGATAAGCCATCTCTCCAATCTGTAGTTTCTATTTCATTTTCTTTTCTTTTTTCCTTTGTTTTCTCTCCCACCTCCCCCCTCCCTCCCCTGCCTCTTTCTCTTTTTCTTTGGGTTAAAATCTTTCTACATAGCCATGGCAGGCCTGGAAATTATTTCATAGACCAGGCTGGTCTTAAACCCACAGAGACATGCATACCTCTGCCTCCTGAATTAATTTCTGTTTCTTACAGAGAACAGCGATAGTGAGTATTCTTTGGCTTTTAGAGATGTTCAGTATCTCTTAAGAATAGCCATCGAAAAATATCCCCTTTATATCCATAGCTGTTTCATATCATATTCATGCTTTCTGTAGGATTTTCTACCCTTTTTAATAATTTATGGAAACACTGTGTGTGGAAATAACCTTTTCTGAAAACCACTTCCTACCTCTAGAAACTGAACTTTTGATGGATCTTGCATCCAAGTTTGTAATAAGTCTTGAGACCATTTAAACCATATACTCAATCTGTACCTAACATTCAGTCTGTCTAAGTTTAACCTGCCTTTAAGAAAACAAGGTAACCAACCTTACAATGACTTGGATTTTCCCATGCAATCAGTCTTACAACCCAAGCTAAACATAAGCTTTATTCTTTCATTGCCCTGGCCCAAGATAACATATGCACATTATGGTAGTCATTTGCTGAATGCAGGCAATATATTGAAAACAACCTTAAACAAAACAAGTATCCATCATAAATGTTGGAAGCCACAATATCTTGAAACCATGTGTTCGTGGCTTTTGAATGCTATTCTGGCCAATTGGGGTTATCTAGTAATTTTTTTTAACTTTTATTAGTTACACTTTATTCACTTTGTATCCCCCCACAAACCCCTCCCTGCTCCCCTCCTAATCCCACCTTCCCTCCCCCTTCTTCACGCATGCCCCTCCCCAAGTCCACTGATAGGGGAGGTCCCCCTCTCCTTCCTTCTGATCTTAGTCTATCAGATCCCATCAGGAGTGACTACATTGTCATCTTCTATGTTTTTCCCTCACAAGCTCTAATGAAAAATATTAAGAGATTCCTCATTCCTTTCTCGTGCTGTGCTTTTTTGTGCAGTGCAGTCAATACACAAAAGGGCAAAGCCCTTGTTTGGAAGACACAGGGAGAAAAACGGAGAATGAAAATTTGGCCTCGCTTCTGGTCGAAAGTACTGTTTCTTCAGATGTGGCACTGACACATCCTGGGAATTATTTCTGTCACTACTTAGTGGCTGTTTTTGGTTACAAATCTTATTTTCCACACCATGCTTTGTCTACTAGGTCACTTTTAACATATTCCAGTATGTAAAGTTTTACAGTTTATGTGGTACTATCTATGTAAGATTTTAATTAGCAGATAATTATGGGCCCTGTAATGAGTGTTTTAGAAAGTTTCCTCCACATAAAGAATATATATGTATATGTATATATATGTATATGTATATATATACATATATATGTAGTATAATGGCTATTTTATAGTTTTAGTGTTATTTTCATATACATTTTGAATCATTTATTGAATTATCTGTCATTTCATCCAAATTTTCAATATCAGCTTGACATTAGAATTCTGTATATTTTTAGGTTTGCTGCTGGACTCAAGTATGTTCTATTTACTCATGTCTCCCATTTTACTGTAATTTCTCATTATTTTATTATTATAGCATGCCTTAATTTCAGGTGTAATAGACAGTCTCTCACTTTGCTCTTTTTCAAAATTTTTCTTGTGCCAAAATATACATAGTGTAAGTTTCCTCTGTTAGCCATTTTTGAACAATCTTCAGTGGCACTAGCGGCATTTTTTCTGCTGTGTAGTCACCATCGGCCTCTACAACTTTGTTTTGCGATATTTTATGTGAATTTTACAGTGCCTATGACTGGCTTATTTTTCTCAACATAGTACTGTTTTCCACAGACCAATTTACATTCCCGCCAGTTGGGCATAAGGATTGCATTTTCTCTCCATAGGGACGTGGTATTTCCTGCTTCCTGGGGAATTTTGTGCGGCTGTCCTACTTACTGGGAAATGTGTTTTCATTTCAGCTTGTTGTCCCTTTTGTTTTGATTTCCGTTTTCCTGTGTATTAGCAACATTAGGCAAATTTCTACATGCTTATTGGGCCATTTAGATGTCTGTTTTCGGAAAAATGTCTTTTCAGATTGGCACTCATTTTAAAAATCAGGTGTTTTCACCTTTTTCCGATGTCTATCCCATTTGCCTTTCTGAATGAAGATTGGTCATCTTGTCCTCTTTCTTGCTTAGCTTCTACAGCTGTAAAGTTTATAGATTATTAGACATATAGGATAAATGTCTAATATCCACTTATGAGTGAGTATATACCATGTGTGTCTTTATGCTTCTGGGATACCTCACTCAGAATGATCTTTTCCAGTTCCCACCATTTGCCTGCAAATTTCATGATTTCCTTGTTTTTAATTGCTGAGTAGTATTCCATTGTGTAAATGTACCACGATTGCTATATCCATTCCTCAGTTCCCCATGAGTGGGGGAGCAGCCTTACCAGGCCACAGAGGAAGACTATGAAAGACAGTCCTGATGAGACCTGATAGGCTATGGTCAGATGGAAGGGGAGGAGGTCCTCCTCTATCAGTGGGCTGGGAAAGGGTCAGTGGGCAGGATTGGGAGGGAATAAGGGTGGGCTACAGCTGGGATACACAGTGAATAAATTATAATACATAAAAAATTATATTAAAAAATCAAGTGTGGTTAGTTTTAGGAAATTTATCTACATATCAATATTTTAAATGTATAGATTGAAAATATCCCCTCTCACTCTATGGGTCACTTTTTAAAATTTTTATTTTAATTTTTATTTTAATTTTTATTAATTACACTTTATTCACTTTGTATCCCCCCATAAGCCCTTCCTTCCTCCTCTCCCAATCCTACCCTCCTTCCCCCTTCTCCACCCATGCCCCTCCCCAAGTCCACTGATAAGGGAGGTCTTCCTCTCCTCCTTTCTGATCCTAGTCTATCAGATCTCATCAAGAGTGGCTGCATTGTCTTCCTCTGTCGCCTGGTAAGGCTGCTCCCCCATTAGGGGGAGGTGATCAAAGAACAGGCCAATCAGTTCATGTCAGAGACAGTCCCTGTTCCCATTACTATGGAACCCACTTGGATACTGAACTGCCATGGGCTACAACTGTGCAGGGGTTCTAGGTTATCTCCATGAATGGTCCTTGGTTGGAGTATCAGTCTCAGAAAAGACCCCTGTGCCCAGACTTTTTGGTTCTGTTGCTCTCCTTGTGGAGCTCCTGTCCTCTCCAGGTCTTAATACTTCCCACTTCTTTCATGAAATTCCCTGCACTCTGCCCAAAGGTTTGCCATAAGTCTTAGCATCTGCTTTGATACCCTGCAGGGTAGAGCTCTGTGGCAAGCTCCTGTCCTGTTCCCTGTTTTCTCCTTCTTCTGATGTCCATCCTCTTTGACTTTTTGAATGGGGATTGAGCCTTTTAGCCAGAGTCCTCCTTCTTGCTTAGTTTTTTTATGTGTACAGATTTTAGTAGGTTTATCCTATATTATATGTCTAATAGCCACTTATGCGTATGTACCAAAAGATTCTCAAGTATACAATAAGGACATTTGCTCAACCATGTTTGTAACAGCTTTATTTTTAATAGCCAGAAGCTGGAAATAACCCAGATGCCCCTCAAGTGAGGAATGGATACAGAAATTGTGGTACATCTACACAATGGAATATTACTCAGCAATAAAAAACAAGGAAATCATGAAATTTGCAGGTAAATGGTAGGAACTGGAAAAGATCATCCTAAGTGAGGTATCTCAGAAGCAGAAAGACACACAGGGTATATACTCACTTATAAGTGGGTCACCTTTTTTACAATGCAATAATTTGACACACATTTTAAATGTTTTTTTTTCTCTCTCTCTTTTATTTTTCCATGTGCCTTTGGCATTAATTCCAAGAAATCAACTTGGTTGGTAATGAACTTTTCATCCTATGTTTTCTTCTTTTAGTTTTATGGTTTTAGATTTCATTCGTAGGCCATGGATGCATTTTAATTATTTTCTCTGCATAGTTTTAGGAAAAGATCCAACTTTCTCACTTTCCAAAGATATCTGGGCACAGGGTCTTTTCTGAGACTGACATGCAACCAAGGACCATGTATGAATGTAACCTAGAACCTCTGCTCAGATGTAGCCTGTGGTAGCTCAGTAACCAATTGGTTTCCCATAGTGAGGGGAACAAGGACTATTTCTAACAGGAACTCAATGACTGGCTCTTTGGCCTCCCCACCCCCCAAGGGAGGAGCAGTCCTGTTAGGCAACAGAGGAGAGCTTTGCAGCCAGTCCTGAAGCTACCTGATAAAACAGAATCAGATGAATGGGGAGGAGGTTCCCCCCTATCAGTGGACTTGGCAAGGGGCATGGTGGAGAAGAGGGAGGGAGGGAGGGACTGGGAGGGAATGAGGGATCGGGACACAGCTGGGGTACAGAGTTAATAAAATGTAACTGATAAGAAAAAAATAAAATACAAAAAAAAAAAAAGAAAAAAAAAGAAAATAGCATGTGGTTTGATTGTGTTAGTTTTATACATCCTGTTTATCTCTGCCTTTTGTTTGGAGAGTGTAGTTCAAATTTAAGGTACATTTCTTGAAATTTTTTTCTTTAAATTTTGCTATCTACACTCCACTTTCTCTTCTCCAACTCCCAATGTGATTTGTGTTTCTCATTTTGACAGGTGTTTTTTGTTTTTTTTTTTTTTAATTTATTTTTTTTTTTTTTTTTTTTTTAAATTGGCCCTACATTATTATGTTATTTATTTCTGTTTAGCTTTGTTTTTATGGCAAAGCACTTGGGTTCTTTTTCTTTTGTGTACATTCTTTGGTAACTTTCAGTGCCTATCATGAGGAGTACATTTAACATTGTTAAGTGCCAGCACTAAAGTCTGTGTTGGGACAAGCTTCATTTTCACAGAGCACAGAAGAGCCAAAACTTTTAATATCTCCAGTCCCATCCTTGCAGTTGTTTCTATCATACTTACTCTGAAAATATGCTATCTTACCTTATTGATTTCAGTACCTTCCATTTTATGTATAATTCCTTCAGACCTGAAAGCCTTGACAATTTCTTTAGCCATATTGAGCATGACATTAATCTCCTCCTTGGTTTTCATAGTGACAGCAATTTCTGGATGATCGTACTCTAAGTAACCTAAAAAACCATGCAATATTTTCAGGTAAAATGAGAAGATCATCTTAAGTCCACAAAGTAATTTCCTTCACAGGGGCATGTATCCCACTGGCAGGCATGCTAGCATCAATCCCTCACCAGTAGAGCTGGGATTCTGTCATTTTCTTGTCAACACCTACACTTGTTCTAAACTCATGAAAAAGGGATGGAAAGCCCTATCCTAAATTAATGGTTGTGCTGTGCTGGCTCACCATCTCTGGGCCCTGGAAGCATGCCTGGGGTCACATGTCTGTTAGTCATGATCCACTTTCCTGTTCAGTTCAAAACGGTATTTTTGACTATTTGCTACATGTTCAGCTATGGTTTCAGATTAAGTCCTATAGCTAGCTCATTTGGGATTATTTGTCCTGTTTCAAATGTAGAAGGCACACCTATCTGTACCTTTCTGTTTCTCTTCTCTAGATTCCTAGATGCCCATTTAAACCTCACCCACTCACACTAGACATGTGGGCTTTTCCTTAGTCATGACGACTCCCCTGCCCAGCGACTATTTGCCACACAGCTCTCTCAAGCTTCATTCTCAGACTCTCTGCGTTGCGTTCTTTAGCTGTCTGCCATTTCCTGTCCACCCCTGTTTTTACATGTGAGCACAATGTTATCAGGGTGTTTTCTCCATGCAGGATTTTTTCTAGATCAGAAGTTTATCCTGGCATGACTCAGAAATGACACATTGGTCAGGTGGGCATTGAGCCCTCTACACTCCTTAGAGGGGTCCCCAGGACTCTATCTGATTACAGGCCATAAATCCTGGATCTCTGTGGCAATATTATTTGACTCACTCAGGAAGGCACTGTCCTGAAGATACCTGATAAGCTAAGGTTAGATGGAAGGGGAGGAGGACCTCCCCTATCAGTGGACTTGAAAGGGGGCAGGGAGGAGATGAGGGAGGGAGGGGGGATTGGGAGGAAGAGGGAGGGGGCTATGGCTGGGATACAAGTGAATGACCTGTGAATAAAATAAAAAATAATAAAAAAAGAAGTATGTTTCACCATAGACTTATAAGTTGTAAGACCCATTTGTTGATAAAACGTTCTTATGGAATGTATACAATTTAGCCTTGTTCATTCAAATGTTGATTTCTCTACCCAACTATCTAGTTTCAATCCAGACATTGCATTGTGATGCTTATTCTAAGCATCACCTGTTTCAAGTTTGTGTAAACATGCCACCATTTGTTCTCTGTAACTGTCAATTAAACAACCAGCCATAATGCTGAGCAATGGAGAGAATAGGGTGGGACATCTTGGCCCAGACGGGGAGAAGGAAGAAGTGGGAGGAAGAGGAGAGGGAGATCAGCAGCACAGGACTTGGAACCAGGAAGAAAGATAAACTGGACTAAGATATGACTAAAAGCAAGTATAATGGGTGAAATATAAATGGTAGGAAATTATGCAGTCTTGGAGGTTTAGGATAGAATAATAAATATTATATTCAACAACACCCATTACTTTTCTGAGGTTGTCATGATAAGAGATGGTTAAGTTGCATATTAGAGTGAAGGTACCTACCTAGCTCTTTCATAGCATGTTCCATATTCCTCGTTACCCGCTTTAACAATATCTATAGAATAAAAAAATGTTATCTTCATTGGAAAACTAAACCATTACAAAGAAGCTGCGCATTTGTAACTTTTTTAAAGTTAATCTGATAACTTTATTAAAAAGCATGATGGAGGTTGTGGAGAGCACTTGCTGTTCTTACAGAGGATCTGGGTTCAATTCTCAGCACCCATAAAGCAGCTTACAACTGTCCCTAAGTCTAGTTCTGGGGGATCCAGTGCCCTCTTTTCTGACATCCATGAGCACCAGGCATCTACACTGTGCATAGACACACACGTATGCAAAACACTCATGCACATAAAATAAATGTGTTTTTCTGTATGATGGAGAATGGTCTAAGTATCAGAATGGAATTTAGCGATGAGCTTTCAAATCAGAGACAAAGGGGTGGTTTTCAATCTCAAATGCCCAGAACATTTTACTGAGATATGAGAATTGAAATAACAACAAAAATTTGTTGATATTTTAGAGACCTAAGTCCTTGTGCCCTCTCCTTTGCCCTCTCAAATCACATTGCTAGGGATTAATCGTGAGAAATGGCAAGAAAACTTACGAAAACTAGCTTACAATTGGTGGTAGAAGAGAAGAGAAATGCTGCTTTTGTGTTCCACTCGGGGTTAAGTGTACAATATTTTTACAATGCTTGCGGCATACAAGCATACAATGCATACAAACTGCATTGATGACAAATACTGAATTCCACCTGGCTGTCAAACTTCTAGGTATGTACAACCTTACCTAGAATGTGCTTCAAACTGAGAATAAAAAGTAAAATCTAAAATTCACATCCAAGAGCTGTCTTTGCCACAGGAGTGTAGGTATGATCAAGCAAATCTCTCTTGGCCCTATTTCTCCTCTGCATAATGAGAACATGTGATTGGGTACACATAGATAACTGCAGTTTTCCTTACTCCTTCCTGTCTGTTATTCCACTGCCTTCTGTTTTCCTTACTTTTTATTTGGCTCAAAACCAGATGGAAGCTTTGGGGCATTATGAGGAAGCTTTGCTCATTCATCACCATGGTCACTGTTCCTTGCCTCACACTACTTGCTTACCAAGCTGGAGCCTGTGTTGGGAGATGGTTGAGCATTGCACTTTGATACAAAGGTCCCATCCAAGATCTTACTAGTGTGGCACAGACTTTTGAGTTAACAAATAAAAAAGTGGCTTAGTAATAGAAATGGACCAGCAACCCAGGAGTCAGAGACTATACCAATGTGTGAAGACCCAGGACATGATGTGTGTTGGCAACAGGACAGTGAAGGTTTCTCCTCATATTTGGGTTGTCTCTCACCTGTTTAGCCTGTTTGGAACTTGCAATCTGGTCGATTATATTCAGGACATCCATCTCCCCTTGGACATAGCCTTTCAGTATAGCATACCGAAAAGAGATCTGATGGCTCATCCCTTTGTCTATTATTTGCAGCAGTTTTGGTGTTATGAGCTAAAACAAACAAAACAAAACAAAAGCAAAAAACTACTATTAAACATTACCTGTATAACTTTTGTTTATACTTAGATTATTTTGGCCAGATTCTTTCTCTGCTTTGGTACAGGATGTGAACCATTAGCTTCTGCTCCCATGACAGACTTTGTCCCTGTGAAACCCAGATAAATTCTTTCTTCGGTAAATCTTTCTTCTACAACCCTCCTTAGTAATGGTGTTTTATCAAAGCTGTATAAGTCATTAACATGCTACTATTTTGCAGCCATCCTTCTCTGTAACAAGGGAATGTGTAGATTCTTATGCCATTTATCTTCTGAAACTATGCTCCATAGGAATAAAGATTACATCTAGTTTCTCTTCATACTCACAGGGTCTACCCTTTGACATAAGTGCTCAGAGTTTTGTGGATATATTTCCAAACCTTTCTTAGACAAATCATCAGTTCTGTATCTATTTAGTAGACTCTGTATACTTCACATTAGAAAGAATGAACAATAGACTTTGGAATACCATAGACTTGCCATCTTTAGATCCTTAGATTAAATTGTGTAGTATCATTTATTGTCCTGCAAAACACTACAAAAGTCAATACTAATGACTGACTACTTTAGGCCTGGTTGATTTAGCTCGTATTCTCAAAAGCATTTCTAAGATTGTATGAGAAAGACATAAACGTTCTATGTTGTGTCTGTACCCATATATCCTCATATGATGCATCATGGAACAACTTTCCAATCACTTATGTAATCCTATAAAAAATAAGTAACTGCCTTCATACATGTTAAAGCAACATTTATTACAGGTGTAATTTTGATACTGTGATTATATAACACTGATTTCATACAACATGAAATCCGTATTATTTCAGTTTTTGATCTGTGTGAATATGTGTCCCTATGAATATTCTGTGTCTTGATTTGTTTTGACTGCTTTTATCTTTTAACTGCTCCGGCAACTGTACAAAGAAGTATTACTTAGAATGCACTAGTATTTACATAAATATGGATTTTCAAGCACTCTGTCTTAAAAAGAAAGCTGTGATGAGTAGCTGTAGTTCCACAAGCAAAGCTGATTTATGAGTATTCATAACATAAAATTTAAAAGTTTCATTTGTTAAAAGAGCCAGATGTCCAGAGGTAAACATCAGCCCACCAGAAAATGTTTTTCCTGAAACAGTTGATCTGATGTTAAGCTGACACTCCCTGGCAGAGGAAGCTGAAGTCATGTGTTTTCCTTGCTCTTTACCTTCAAGATGCGCAGTGTACGAAGGAGTCGAATCACGTTCATGAAGACCACAGTCTCAGTTAGGTCAAAAGTGTAACTAATGGAGTCTGTTTCGATCAGGATCACGTCTATGATGCCCACTAAGGTAATCCCTAGCTCAAACAGGAGCCAGCTGTGTGAAAAAAATTCCTTCCTCATTGCTGCCATCTGTTGTTACAAAAAGAAATTGCATCATCATGATTTTCGCTTACACTTTCTCCTCTCCCCCCCCCCCCATAAAATTTTGAATGATTCTTTGGAGGATTTCACGTCATACACCCTTATCACATTCACTTCCCAGCCCTTCCCTGTTCATTCCGCCCTTGTGTCCCTCCTGCCTCCAGCGAAAACAAAAACCATCCAGTTTGCAGTATCTAGACATTGGGGGTGCGCATGGTCAAAGTCTTAAGTGGCCTGCCCCTTAAATTGAGCTTAGGAACACCCCCACCCCTGACCCTGCAAGAAGATAAACATTACCAGTTAGGCCTTTCCCCCTGATCTACCTGTGACTCTAAGTCATAAATACCACCAGCGCTACCACTGACAGGCACGCAAGCAGTGGATGCTCACGACTGCATCCTTTAGCCAAGGAAAACTGTCACAACTACTGATGCAGGCTTAATGATACATCACTGGTGTAGATGAAAGACAGGTTTGTCAAATGGCACTGGAGTTGGAAGTCAAGACAAAGTCATGCAAAAATAACCTCTGTCAGGGCTCCTTAATTTCAAACAGCCCTAAATGCTACAAGAACCCCTAAAGTCTCTCTATTATTTAATTATATCAGATGTGTGATGCTGAGTAGTAAGACAATCATATGTGTGTGCATGTGTGTGTAATTCACATGGGCTAAATTTTACTAAATCAGTTCAAGATTTAAAGATTAATTTGGTGAAAGGATGTCTTTTATTCTCATTATTTTGTTCTGTGATGACGTAAGTAAAACTCATTTTTAATACCTTGAAAACTTAAGTAAATGCAAGCATTTTATCAAAGCTATCTTGGTAATTGCACCAACACTTTACACTGTAAAGCTGTCGGAAGGCATCACACACACACAACACATGCTTGAATATGTACATTTCAGAGATTCCCTTTTGTCCGTTCTTTTTCAGACCATGTGTTCCTGCCTTAGAGCAGTTGGTGTGCACAAAGCAGACTTCATGGGGTTTGTATACTTTTTGTTTTGTTTTGATATTTTTGTTATTAATTTTTGTTTGTTTCATTTTCACCTTTATTTTGAAAGAGAGACAGAGAAAGAGAGAGAGACAGAGAGAGAGAGGAAAGAGAAAGAAAACATGATATTGGGTAGATATGGAGGTGGCTAGAATCTTGAAGGAGTTCAGGAAGGATAAAGAATAAAATAAAAAATATTGTACAAAAACATATTTAAGGAGAATATTGCCAGTAAGTATAAACTTACTTTGCATCTTTTCATCTACATCATTTGAATTTTTACTTTGGCAAATACAGACTCAATGCCTAAAACATGTCTATTTTCTACTGTTTCTCTCAGCATCACCTTTAAAAATTAAGTTTGTGTGCTTTGAGAAGAGACAGAATTTCAAAATGTTTCCTTAGAAAACTCTAGCTAATGTTGAAATGGGATAAGGAAAATTTTTTGCTCCCATTTCACATTTGTATTCACAAATTTTAGATTACCTTAAGGAGAGCCTCTAGAATATAAAAGGCAAGAAAATAGTAGTTAGCACATTTTATTTCTTCTTCATAGATGTTTTTTAAGCGGGATATCCAACAGATTATCATAGGATATGTGTTCATTAATACTGCAAGGTATCCAGTGTACTCAAATTCATCCATAAAGACTATTTTATGGCATATATAAAGAAGATAGTATCTGAAAAAATAAAAAGGGAAGACAATTTTAATCTGACAAAAAGAATTAAATGAATTATTTGGTCAGTTCTATTTTACTTAACTGCAGCCAGAGAGCCCTGCTCAATTCTAGGCCTTAGCCTCACTAGTTAGGTGTCTACATCCTTAAACAAATCTGATGATAGGTAAGCTAATAAAAAAAAAACTTTCACAGACTAGTGGATCACTGGAATAAAACTGAAGACCCAAAATAAATCTAAATACCTATGGACAACTATTTTTTTTTTTATAAAGAAGCCAAAATAATGGGAAAAAGACAGCATCTTCAGCAAAGGGTGCTGGTCTAGGTAGAAGTCCACATGTAGAAAAATGCAAATAGACCCATATCTATCACTGTGCACAAAAGTAAAGTCCAAGTGGATCAAAGAGCTCAACATAAAACCAGACACACTAAATCTTTTGGGAGAAAAAGTGGGGAAGAACCTTGAACTTATTGGCACAGGAGACATTCTGAACAGAACACCAACAGCTCATGATCTAAGATCTACAATTAATAAATGCAGCCTCATGAAACTGAAAAGCTTCTGTAAAGCAAAGGACACTGTCAACAGAATAAAACGACAGCCTACAGACTGGGAACGGATATTCACCAACCTTATATCTGACAGAGGGCTAATATCTAGAATATAAAGAACTTAAGAAATTAGACACCAATAAACCAAATAATCCAATTAAAAAATGGGGGACAGAGCTAAGCAGAGAATTCTCAACAGAAATATCGAATGGCAGAGAAACACTTAAAGAAATGCTCAACATCCTTAGTCATCAGGGAAATGCAAATCAAAACAACTCTGAGATTCCATCTTCGACTGATCACAATGGCTAAGATGAAAAACTCAAGTGACAACACATGCTGGAGAGAATGTAGAGAAAGGTGAACCCTCCTCCATTGCTGGTGGGTGTACAAACTTGTACAACCACTTTGGAAATCAATCTGGTACTTTCTCAGAGAATTGAGAATAGCACTACCTCAAGATCCAGGTATACCACTCCTGGGCATATAGCCAAAAGATGCTCCACCATTCAATAAGGACATTTGCTCAACTGCTACACTCACTCCAAAACCATCTGTGTAGCATAAAAATGTGTTATGCAAGCATAAAATTATGCAAACAGACAAGAAATCACATTTCCTACAGGAATCAGCTTCCTGGAAGTCCCTAGCAAGAACCCTAACATGGCCATCTAAGCCAAAAGACGTATTTTAAGTCCCACACTTACTTGGTTGCAGGATTAAATTGATGAGCTTTTTTGCTATTTCTCTATGATTCTTGAAACAGTACAATTAACTATTCAAGGAAACATTTCTAATAGATCACTAAAAGTTTAGCAAATAAGAGTAGAAGGAAAATATAATTTTAGGTGAGGTAATAAATCAGATTCAGCATCCGGAATTGCTTGTGGAAAAACCAAACATTGTAGGTAGTAAAAGGACAAGAGTTTTAGGGCTTTCTAAAGAAAATGTTTAATCAGGATCTGTTAGGATAAATGCTCTGGATATTCCCACTGCAGTAAAGCTACTACAAAACTATTACCTAACACAGGTATTTATGATGAGGCAGAAAGAAGATGGGCAAACATAGGAGGTCAAAAAGTTTTATATTATACTATTAAGTTTTACAGACAGCTAACTCAAGCATCTTATCTCTAAGGAAAGATCGTAAACCCTTAGCAAGCCAAACAGGAGGAATTCCCCTCAATGCTTACCTCCAGGGGGGTTGTAAATCTTTAGCGGACCTAGTTCAGAGGATTATTAACAACCCCTAATTAACTAACAATAAACTATGTAAACAGACCACAAGTTTAACAAGCCCCTGGCCCTCTACTCACTAAATTGGCAAACAAGTCACTAGTTCTATGTTTGCTCTGCTTAAGAGGCTGTTAGGCCAAGATTTTTTTTTGTAGACACTGCTTCTACCAGGTTACTCTTTCAGTTAAATATAAACTGTATAAATGTTCCAGGGGATATGTCAACTTTAAGGTGCTTCTTTGTAAGATTACTATAAAAGTGTTGGCTTGACTTCAGTAAAACGCAGAAGATACAAACCAATACCACCTGGTGTGGGTCTGACTGTCATTTCGCCTATCTGTGCCTTCCTGATATCTGAATTCTCTGATTTTCCCGCAGATGTGGGGCACCCAAAGGGGCCAGTCCGTGGCACTCAACTATGTTCATAGCACCTTTATTTGTAATACCCAGAATCTGGAAACACCTAGATGTCCCTCAACGGAGGAATAGATACAGAAATTGTGGTACATCTACACAATGGAATACTACTCAGCTATTAAAAACAAGGAAATCATGAAATTTTCAGGCAAATGTATGGAACTAGAAGAGATCATCCTAAGTGAGGTAACCCAGAAACAGAAAGACAGACATAGTATATACTCAGTTGTAAGTGGATATTAGCCATATAATATAGGATAGCCATCTGTGGACATAAAGAAGCTAAACACTAAGGAGGACCCTAAGAAGGATTCTTAAATCTTATTCAGAATGGCAAATAGGATAGATACCAGAAGTGACAGAAGAGCAGAAACAGGATGGGAGCCCACTATAGGGGGTCTTCTGAAAGGATCCACCCAACAGGGGATTGAAGCAGATGCTGAGACTCAGGGACAAAGTTTGGGCAGAGCACAGAGAGTCTTATGGAAGAAGAGGGGGGTGGGGATAGAGGGTCATGGAAGGGAAAGGAGCCCCATAAGGAGACCAACAAAGCTAAAGGATCTGAGCACAGAAGGTCCTGAAGAGATTAATGCACCAAAGGAGGACCATGCATGGAGAGGACCTAGACCCCTGCTCAGATGTGGCAGCTCAGTCTCCATGTGGATCTCTGAGTGTGGGGATCATGAGCTGCCTCTATTAAGAATTCAGTTGACTGCTCATTGATCACTTGCCTCTGGTGATGTAGCCTTGCCAGGCCATGGAGGAGGATGATCCAGGCAGTCCTGATGAGACTTAACAAGCTATGGGCAGATGGTACAATGGTGGAGAAATCCCCTTTCAGTGGACTAGAGGAAGGGGATGGGGGAGAAGACAGATGGAGGGTGGGACTGGAGGGAGTTGAGGGAGGGGCTTCAATTGGAATATAATGAATAAATTGTGAAAAAAGAATAAAAATTAAAATTAATAAAAAATTTCAATGGACATTTTTTGTGTGGAGAATAAAGGTGTTTCTAGTGTCAAGGGCAGACTACCTTCCTATAAAGTTTTGTTCATGAAGGTCTCTGAGGCACCCCCCAATACACAAACCAAACCAAACAAAAAACAAATAAACAAAACCCACCAATACAGACACTTGCTACTGCTACTGATTGCCTACCAAAACTCCTTTTGTAGGACTCTTACTTGACACAAATGCCTTGGTCCCAGGATACAGAGAAACCAAGTTGTAAATGAGCTTAAAGCTTCCTTCCTGCCAGGTAGCTCTCATAGTTTCAGAAGGTGGCATGAAGCTTCTGGGGGAAAAATGTCATGACCAGTCTTGCTCAGCTGTGGTAACCATGAGCAACAATGCCGACTGCCCAGGAAAAATGAACCCACCAATGCAACAGTGGTGAGTATATTTTTGGGCCAAACAATTGCTTTCTGATTGGATTTGATGCTCACTCTACATGAGGGAATTTATGTCTGGTATTGTAAACCTGGTCACAGCTTGTGGCTTGGGAGGTAGTAGAAACTAATGGGGAAACTGTTATTGTGCTAAAAGAGTATGATGTACCCACCCAGGCCTATCAAAGAGCCATGTTTATGTCTATAGACTAGTGCTACTGTCAGTTTTGGTCAGAGAAGCTTCCTTTTTGCATTTATACAGAGAATAAATGACTGTTAAATACCAGTCCTAAAGAGGTCATATATATCACCACTTATGGGGCTTAACAAACCTCATGGAAGAAGAGTTAAAAAAAATGCAACAGTCAATGACAGTAGGGAGTAGCAAAGAGCACCGACTACCAGATCTAACATAGCTGGTGTACTCTTGAACTCACAGCATCCATCATTGCGCAAGACCTGGTATCTAGATTTATCTCAGTAGACTAGGACTGTTGACATGCTGTGATGTCTAAAGTACAGGGTCCCATCTTCCCTGTGGATGTATATGCAGTTAAGAGCTGGTGGGAGAATGGGAGGGGCATTTCTTCAGTGTTGTAGCTACTTGTAAGTTGTAGATCACAGACTCCAGCTACAAACCCTTGCAATCTTTCCCCTCTAACAGCTCTCACAAGAAACAAGTGAGACAAGCCCCTTCCTTTAAGCTGGGCATTTCCAGATAACAAAACCCAAATGTAGAAGCTGTGTAAACAGAACTGTTTGAGAACATATTTTTTAGGCCCATTGTTCTTCAAGATGCCCCTTATCCAGCAATATCCTTGGGATCCTTTCAAATTCCTGCCTCATACAGAATTATAAGAAACTGGAATATATGTGAGTCTTGTTGGATGAGATTAGCCCACCATTGGACCATTTGTGGGGCATAACACCTTTCTGCTCCCTCATCTTGCATAAGGGGCCTAAAAGAACTAACTTTTTTTCTGTGATTGAGTTGAAGTCTTTCCCTCATCACAACCCTCTCTTCTGATATCTAGCCCTATCAATCTCCATCTCTCTCAAACCTTGTTACTTAAGAAAGAAAGAAAGAAAGAAAGAAAGAAAGAAAGAAAGAAAGAAAG